TAGAGTCTGAACTGGGCCATTCATCGCCTTCGTCGAGTGGTGATAACATCTTTGGGGAAAGGTTATATTTTATAACAGTTGTAAACTCATCCAATTCGGCTCTTACTCGGGGATATTTTCCTGAAAGTGCGCATCATCAACTTTTAAATGAACCAGATTGATGGCTAAACCGCTCTCATCCCGGCTTTTGTGGAAGATCTCAAGTGACAAGCCAAAAGCTTCCAATTTTTGGAAATCGCGACTTGCTGTGGTTTAACTCGACCTTATACGTAAACCGTGTTGTTAATTAACTAACTGCCTAAGTAGGATTTCTTTTTATCTAGTGAGTATACCGATCCGCGGGGAAGTAAGGTTATTATGGTAAATTCACCATTACTCTAAGGAACATGGACCACAGTTTCAACACCTTCATCAGCTTGGCAACTCTATGAGTCATTTCGGTTTTTTAAGAACATTGTATTTGCTGACTTGTGAATATTGAATTGCTGCAATCAGTGGTTTCTCAAATGCACTGCCTAGTTTCAGTCTTGGAAGGAATATGGACCTAATTGCTGAGCGCATTCTCATTAGGAAAAACATACTCACCGTCGATTCACGGGTGCTGCTTAGATCATTGCAATCGACTAAGGATTTTCATCTTAAGACAATTTGCACAACTAAGTGGCCTGCAAAATCTCATAGTTCTAAGGCGATCACGACACACTTATAAACTCTTGTAGTTGTACGGGAAATAAAAAAACGTGGTCTACACTTCGATATGACTAAGCAGAATTCATTTAAAAATATTGCGGAACGGGAAAACCAGACCTAAACATTATTCAAAGTAGGGCAATGCACGAGTCTTTCTTGCTCGAACAAGTACTCGAAATTATCTTTGGGGGTCCATGGAAGACCAGTATCAAGCAAATGCTTTGTAATGAGTGAGCGCAAGATTCTGTTTTCTTGATTTAAAAGTCACCTAGGCAGGTGCTCTATATATCTGACTGTCAATTGTTTATGCGTTCGCTCAATGTGTTTGCATCCGCAAGTGCATGTAGAATCATAAACGGGACATTCAGTTCCGATAAAGGCCGTTTTCGTGTCTTTGCTCCTCGAGGATGACAATATTTTTTGAATACCATGAAACTACGCCTACGGTGCATCATTGAAAGGATATATAATGCTGCCGACCTCATATTTGAAACCCTACAAAACCGCTACCCTTCCACAAACAGAACATGCCTTGCCAATGTACTTCACTTCATATTAAATCTATGAATTTATATGCACTTGCGGATGCAGACACATTGGGCGAACGCAATAGCATTTGGCAACCAGGTCTATAGGGCACCTGCCTAGGTAGGTGTTAAGACGGAAAAGCGGAATCCCGCGCTCATCTAGTACGAAAAATTTGCTTGTTAGTGGTCACTCTGTGTACCCCAAAACATCCTAAGCAGTATTTCATCCACCTTTGTAGACAGTGACGATACATC